TTCATTTTGCTATCTCTCCCCACTTACCCCATGCACATGTCACTTAACTGGCAAGCTGACTAACCTTTTTTTTTTTTTTTTGCAGTAATATTAGCAATTAGTTTTATTTGTAATACTTTTCTACTCATCAGCTTTTACCTGCTATTTCCATTATATTCTTACACACATCCATTCTATTATAATTCCCTTCCACATCCGCTAATTCCTCAATACCTTTTCTTTTCCTCTCTCTGTTTTTTTTTTTAAATTTGACAATTTTTATTGTTTTCACATATTGTTCAAGGAGGGTCGGGTGATGGGGAGGGGTACAGAAGAAAAGGAGGGGGGGGGAGGGAAGGGGGTAGGGGTAAGCATCACACAAGCATTTCCATATAGAGTTACATCAAGCCGTTACATAGTTACCCGTATTTCCTACTATGCCTTATTCTGGGCGAGTAAGTCTATGCGGTACATATGTTCTTGGTTTTGGATTTATGATTGTAGATGTTAGATTTGATGTTTGTGACCTCGTTGAGTCCAGTCCAGTATCCTCTATCTATCTATATACCCAGCCTTCCTTCTTTTCTTTCCCAGTTATTTTGTGTTTCAGGAGGGGTGTGGTAGGTATTCTTTATGTTGGGTGCTCCCGTCGCCACGCCTCCCACCTCTCCCAGGTAGCCCGTGTCATTTCATTTGGGGGGCATACTGTATTGAATCGTTTCTCATAAATTTTTTGGTTGTCTATTTCTGCTAGTACTAATTCTATGGGCGGAGTAGCGTGAGTTTTCCATGCCCTTGCGATTGCGCGTTGGGCAGTGAGTAGTAGATGGTATACAAGTTTTTTTATATAGGGAGGTGTCTTGGGGGCGAGCACAAGCAAGAGGTACGTGCTTGGTTCGTATTGCGGTTCGTCGAGTGAGAGTTCCTTAAGTACCTTCTGGACGGCTTTCCAGAAAGGCTGTATCAGTGGGCAGTGCCACCAGACGTGTACCGTGGTACCAATATGTTTGGTGCATCTCCAGCATTCTGGTGAGCTGGATGGGTAGAGTTTGTGTAGCTTTTCGGGGACCAAGTACCACCTATATACCATCTTCATGTGCTGCTCTATGAGTGTGGCTGATTTTATCAGTTTTCTAGGGGAGGTCACTAGATCTTCCCATTGTTGGTTGGTTAGGTCTGTGCCCAGCTCCCTCCCCCATTGTATCGCCGGTGAGGCTTCCGCTAGTGGGGTGTATTGTAGAATTTGTTTGTAACAGGATGATAGTGGTCGGTGTATCTTTGGGAGTCTACGCTTGATGCATATGTCTTCCCAAAGGGTGTGTATATGTGGGCCTGGGTCCTGCTGTGTGCTATCTGGGTTGTGGTTATGGAGGAATGATGCTAGTTGTCTGTATGAAAAGTGCGAGGTATTCGGTATGTTATATGTTTGTTGTAGTGTATTGAAGTCTGTGAGCCTTTTCCCTGTGTGGGCCTGTGCTAAGGTCGTGACGCCTCTATCGTGCCATGGTGTTGCATGAAATGTAGGTATGCAGTATGTTAGTGCCTGTATTGGTGTGGCTTGTGAAACTTGGGAGTTCGAGCTAAGTTTGTTCCTGTGTGTGTCCCAGACCTGTAGGAGTAAGTTGATCTGCTCAGGGGGGTCTACCATTGGTGGTCTAAGTGGTTTGGGGAGCCATATTACATGTGATAGTTCGTATGGTTCCGTCAGGTGTCTTTCCAGTGTCACCCACTGTGGGGGTGGTTGATCTATCAGGTGTGGTAATGCCGCTGCTAATATGGAAGCATGATAATAGGCTCGTATGTCTGGGACTGTCAGGCCACCTGCCCTCTGCGGAGCTGCTAGCAGTTTCCTCGCTACTCGTGGTTTCTTGCCTTCCCATATGAATGCGTTGGCATCTCTTTGGACTGTTTTAAAGTATGTTTGGGGGATTTTTATGGGCAACGTTCTGAAGATATATTGTAGCCTGGGGAGTATGGACATTTTCAATGCTGCCACTCTTTCTGTCCACGTAAGGAACAGGTGCTCCCATTTTTTGAGGGTTGACTTGCACTCTTTCCAGACTCTAATATAATTCCCCGTTATCAAGTCTTTATGCTGTCTGGTGATGTGGAGCCCTAGGTATGTTATATAGTCTTTCCTCCATTCAAAATCGTATTTAATGCGTAGTAATTCGGTTAAAGTGGAGGGAAGGTTAATCCCCATGGCTTGTGTTTTCGAAGAGTTTAGGGAGTAGTACGATAGGTGACCGTATGTTCTTATTGCCTGCATTATGTGAGGTAATGAATCCTGGGGTTGTGTTATATAGAGTAAGACGTCATCTGCAAAGGCACTGATTTTGTATTCGATGTTCTTTACTGTAATACCCTTAATCTCGGGGTGGGCCCTGATGGTGCGAAGGAGGGGTTCCAGTGCCAACACATATAGGAGAGGGGAGAGTGGGCAACCTTGTCTCGTCCCATTAGAGACGGCAAAGGGGTTGGATTTGAATCCTGATTGAAGGACTTGTGCTGCCGGGGTGGAGTATAGGGCGAATATTTGATTTATCGTTGTTTGCGGGAGTCCGTACGCTCTTAGGGTTCTGTCTAGGAAGGTCCAGTTAAGGCGATCAAACGCTTTTTACGCGTCCAGGGCTAGTAACAGTCCTTCTTTCCTATGTCTCCGTAGGCCCTCTAGTAGTAGAGTCAGTTTTCTAGTGTTATCTAATCCCTGTCTACCAGTCACAAACCCGGTCTGGTCATCCCCTATGAGGTCGGGTAGCATGTCTTTGAGTCTGTTGGCTAGTATTTTCGCGTATATTTTGGCATCAGTATTGAGCAGTGAGATCTGGTTTGGGGAGTGTGACAATTGTGGCCAGTAGCATCTCCGGTGGTAGTGTTCCTGAGTTCGATGCTGCATGATACACTCGTAGTAGGTGTGGGGCGAGTTCCTTGGCAAAGAGTTTATAGTAGGCATTGGTGAGGCCGTCTGCCCCTGGGGATTTTCCATTGGGGAGGCCTGCTATTACCTTCAGGATTTCCTGAATTTCTATGGGTTTTGTCAGATTTGTTTTTTGTGTTTGAGATATTTGGGGGAGATTGGTTTGTCTCAAGTATTCGTCTATGTCCTCGGGGCTTGCCCTGTGTGTGGTGTCTAGTGTTCGTAGATTATATAGTTTGGAGTAGAATTCAGCAAATTCTTTGCTGATGTCCGCTGGCGTGTGGTGTATTTTGCCGTCTGCTCCCGTGATTCTAGTAATCTTTGTGTTGGCATATCTGGCTCTCAGTCTATTGGCTAAGTATTTACTGGCTTTGCCTCCGTTGTGGTAGACATTGGCTTTTAATCTATAGAGTAAGGATTTAGTTTTTTCTGCGTTTAGTTCGTTTAGCCTCGAGTGCAGCTTTTTTAGTTGTGCTGCCAGTGCTGGGGAGGGTTGTTGTTTGTTTTGTTTGGTTACTAGTGCTATTTGTTTGTGACAGTCCAGGAGTGTGGTTTGGTGGTGCCGTTTCAGGAAGGATGCCCTTCTGATAAATACCCCTCTCATAACCGCCTTATGTGCTGACCATACTGTAGTGTCTGAGACCCCCTGTCCTGCATTTGTTGTAAAATAGTTTTGGAGTGCTTCCCTACTCTCCCGCACAAAGGTTGGGTTCAGTAAAAGTGAGTCGTTCAGTCGCCACGTCCCCCTCCCCTTGAATTGGTAGGCGTCCAGGAGATCTAGGTACACCGGTCCATGGTCTGACCATGTTATTTCCCCTATTGTACATTTCTTCAGTTGTGCCAGGAGTGTCCTATCCAGGAAGATTGCGTCTATGCGTGTGTATGTGTTATGAGCTCTTGAGTGGAAGGTGTAGTCCCTCTCCTCTGGGTTTAGTGCCCTCCATGCATCGTATAAGTCATAATCTTCTATCAACTTAGTGGTCAGTTTGCTTGTAGCGGCTATTCTCTTTTTACTGTTACCTGTGAGAGTGGCTGTCGTATCTAATGTGGGCGACTGGATACTATTAAAATCCCCGCATAGGATTATATTGCCTTGTTTAATCCCATCAATTTTGTTAAGCAGCATTCGCAGGTATTGTCCCTGTCGCTCGTTGGGGAAGTATGTGGCTATCAGCGTAAGTTGGATGCTGTTGAACTGGCCCACTAATATAATATATCTACCCTTCGGATCTATACTCTTTTGGTGTATGGTAATTGCTACATCTTTGTGAATAAGGACTGTTACTCCCTTTGATTTAGTGGCGGCCTGGGAGTGGAACTGAATGGGGTACACCTTTGTGTATATTGCCGGGGTGTGGTCGTCCCTAAAGTGTGTCTCCTGGATACACGCTATGTCGATCTGGTTTTTCGTGAGGTCATTCAGTAGTAGCCTCCTTTTACCCGGGGTGTTTAGCCCTTTTACATTGTAGGTGACTAATTTCATAATGGTGTTCTAGGTGGTCTCTAAATCTAATCGTGGGCATATCTGTAATGGCACTTAGTTTGGTCGTCCTCGAGTCGGCATGGTTATGGGGTGGTGGTTGGCGTCTTTTGATGCTTTGTGGGGGCTGGAGGTAGGGGACATTAGAAGGTAATAAACACATAGGGGGTGTGGGGCAAACAGATAGGCAATACGCCTGAAAGGGCTCCGTCTCGGGGAGCCAAGATGCGCCGGAAGAATCCCGGTCACAATCGGTGGGGGGTGGGTGTATGAGCCCGGTCGTAATCCGGGGACTCAACCATGGTTGTAGCAGTGGGATCACAGCGTTGCAACAAAAGTATAGAGGCGCCTTCTAGGATTTCGATCCAGGGGCCTTCCAATGAGTTGGCCCTAGGGTATAGCGCCCGTGCCCCAGAGGTCCTGTGAACTAACCCCTGAACCTGTAACTTTGGGCACCTGTACTTGGTAATGTGGGTGCAAAAAACTAAACCAAACTAAAGGGGGAACAGAATGAATACATTTGTTACTTTAAACTCACATGCTTGTCATCTTAAGTCTCTAGTGGTATATTCATGGGTCTGTGACCGCTTGTCGCCTTCTGGAGGCAAGAGGTGACTGCGGTGTTCAGGCGGTTGACCAGTCTCTTGGTACTCTGGGGATGTTAAGGCGGTGTTGTTTCACCTCCTCTGCAACCTGTATGCCCCAGTCCTTGAGTTTAAGTAGCCCCATTTCAGTGTTGAGTATCACGTGCATTTTCCCCTCGCGGTGGATCAGTAGTTTGGCTGGGTATCCCCACCTGTAGGCGATGTTCTTCTCTCGCAGGGTGGCTGTGATCTGGGTCAGACTTTTCCTAAACTGTAGTGTTTCTGCTGATAAGTCGGCAAAAATTTTGATGTGTCCATACGGGTCCGGCATGCCTGCCGTTCTGCTTTCTCTCATGATCTGTTCTTTCACGTGGAAAAAATGTACACGTGCGATGACATCCCTCTCTGTGGTGGGCGGCATGTGTTGTGGCCGTCTTAGGCGATGCACCCTGTCGACCACCATCTGGTCTGGGTGGATGGCTGGAGCTGGAGCTTGGAACATGTCCTGGAGGTAGTCACCCAGGCCCGCCGGCAGTATCGTTTCAGGGATGCCCCTTATCCGGATGTTGTTCCTCCGGGAGCGGTCTTCCAGGTCAGCCACTTTTGTTTTAAGGTTATTTAGTTGTGTTTCATAATCCTGCACTTTTTCAGCCAGGTAGTTATGGGCATCTGTGCAATCATCCAGTTTCTGCTCTATTTGGGCTGTACGCTGGCCTATGTCTGCAACATCTTTCCTTAACTCTGTTGCCAGGTTGTGCAGTTGTTTCTTCATAGCAGCCTGAAAGTTGTCAGCTAGTTCTGCTAGCATGAGCCTCATTGAGGTTGTGGTAAGGGGCTGCTCCTCTGCCAGGGAGGTGATAGACGTTGTAGGTGATATGGATCCCTCGCGGGAGCAATCTCCGCCGCCATCTTGTACTCGGCCGCCGGTTTCCCGCGGTTTTTTCGCGGCGGATCTGGCCATAAAAAAGGACGCTCGTTCTTCTTTGGCAGCTTTTTGTTTCTGCCTCTGGGACATTGTGGGTCTTTGGGTACCTTTATTTTGTGCTCTGTAGTCCGTTTAGTTGTGCTCCGTCCTCAGTGCTGCGGGAGCTTCACAGACGTGCGTCCATGCTGCTTGAGCTCCAGGCCACGCCCCCCTACTAACCTTTTTTGATGGTGCTGATCAAACCACAAGAGCACATATTTACCACTGTATTCATGAAATGTTTTTTGAGGGACAGCTGAGCCAACAGGGACATACTTTCCCCTCACAATCCCAGGTATTCCTTTTAATGTCTTTAACTCTGTTCTTTGCCCGGCTGTGGCCAACCCCACACCAACCTTACAGCTGATAACGTTGCATGCTATTTTACTGACAGAATTAGTCCGTTAACATAAGAATTCTCCCCAATTTGCTCCTATCTCTATCTCAAGTTGACTTGGACAATCCTACCCTTCAGGTCTTTTCCTAAGCGAATGAACTTGATGTATCTGTGGCTCTTGTTTCTTCTCACCCCACCACTTCTCCCCTTGATTCCGTTCACTCTCATGTTATGAGATCTCTCTCACGTTACCTTGTGCTGTCCTCAGTGCATAATTTGAACTGCTCTCTTTCTTCTGGCATTGTCGCTGCTCCCCTTAAACATGCTGATATCTCTCACTTTCTTCTCAAAGCATCTGGATGTGCTTTCTCAACTCTAACTCCCTTTTCAACCCTCTTCAATCTGACTCCCCCCCCTTCATTCAACTAAGACAGCTCTGACTAAAGTAACTAATAGTTTAAGTACAGCTAAAATCAAAGGGCACAGCTCCATTCTAATTCTTCTAGACTTGCCTACTATGTTTGACACTGTTGATCAAAATCTCCTTCTCCAGACTCTTCACACTTCTGGCCTTTGTCACACTGTCCTTTCTTGCTTCTTGTCCTCTCTCTCCCAACGTTCATTCAGTGCCAACTTTTCTGGTAACACTTTCTCCTCTCATCTTGTCTCAGTTGTAGTCCCCCAAGGTTCTGTTCTCACTCTCCTTCTGTTTTATTTCTACACTGCCTCTCTTGGAAAACCTATTAAAGGGACACTATAGGCATCAAAACAGCTTTATCTTAATTAATAGATCATGGCCCTGCAGTCTTACTGCTCAGTTCTCTGCCATTTAGGAGTTAAATAACTTTTGTTAGCACCTCCCCTGGCTGTGACTGACACAGCCTGCATGGTTTCATTTTCAATCAGATGTTAACTTGCTTTAGAAGTTTTATCTCCTGCTCTGTAAATTGATTATTTTTCTTTGCTCTTGCTCGTACCACACATAACCCCTCTGTTAAGTGTTACATTTTCTTTCTATGCCTTATAGAGGGGGTAGGAAACTTGGGCACTCCAGGTTTTGTGGACTACATCTACCAAAATTCTCTTATAACCAAAAAGCTATAAGAGAGGGGAGATGTAGTCCACAACATCTGCAGTGCCAGAGGTTGCCTACTCCTGTCCTATAAAAATATTACCTATTGCCATAGGTTACCACGGCAACGATCCAAGCGGCATGCATGAAGGGCTTTAAAGAGAGGGAGAGGACCTGCCAAAAGGGGAAGATGGAGTCTGCTGGGCTTCATCCTGACTATAAAAGCTACTGTGCCATTGGACCACCAGGGAGTTTAATGTCAATCCTCACTGACCAAAGTTAAGAGGCAAGGAGGGGGCATACAATAAAATTATAATTAGAAATTGTTTAAAATATTGAAAAAATAATGCTTACTGCCCACATAACACAGCACGTACCCCACCCCACAAATTTACACAAACACTCACTACATCCACTACACAAACACTGCATCGACTTTACACACACTGCATCCACTTTACACACACACTGCTTCCACTACACACACTGTATCTACTATACACACACACACACATACTGTATCTACTATACACACACAACATATACTGCATCCCCTACACACACACATACACAAACTGCTTCCTTGTGGGCGATCTGGGGGTGGGACTTTTTGGTTGACTCCAAGGCCTTGAGCTATATAAGGGGCCCAGAATTTCTGAAGTCAGCCCTGCCCACTTCCTCTAGATTGCATGCTCAAAATGCTTAATAGTTTGTCTCGTTGTTGTTAAAATCTCCCTTTTTAATATTATACAGTTCTAATGTTCTAAAGTTCTGGGGTTATAATAATATAATGTACACACCCATAGGGTGGCTGTGTGAGTCTCAGGCAGTGGAGGTGTGGCTAAAGCTACATGAACAAAGTAATTAAACTGCTAATTGGCAGGAAATTGAACAGTGGTACTGCAGGGGCATGGTCTATGAATCAAAAATTCTTTGTTAAGCTAATGTTGTTTGTGTGTTAGAGTATCCCTTTAAGATAAGGTGTAGTATTCACAGTGATTCTCAAGCTTTCTCATGGAAGGTACTCTCCATGTATATTATTTTGAAGCATGTTGTTTGAACCTTTAGTTGTTTAAGTGCTTAGGGTGTCCACCGTTAATGTCTGCACCTCTATTCTGGGACTACCACTAAACTAGTGCTTTGAAGCTGACAGAACAATTTGCATGATATTTAATTTAAAGAAAAAAAAAAATCCAGAATCCTTTTAAAGGCAACTTTTGGCTTTGATAAAAAAAAAAAATCTCTAGGCTAAGAATTACCTATTATTCTATTCTATTTAGAACCATAAATACTAATTTCTGCTGCTCTAGCTGAAAGATTATGAATAGTTGAGTTCACCAGGAATGTGTAACACAGTATCATGTCAGATGTACTCAGACAATGATGGGAACACTGTCAGGTAATACAACGTGTCAGCACAGACGTTCATAACTTTTCAGTTCTAGAGATGAAGAGCACAACATGACTATCAAAGGGTAAGTTAATTTTTGTAAACATAATTTTTAGCGGTTAATATGAGAAACTTGGCTCTACGGACCAATACTTGTGCCAAATGTGCACTGTGCACGTCCAATGATTGAGCCTAGAAACACTTAACGTCATCGAGGTATGTTGGTTGTGTGAGCAGTTCTTCCCTGCAGAATATACCATCTGTTTTTTAAAAAGACTTTAATTATTTATTGGATAAACCTGAAAAATCTCTACTACAAATGTTTGTGCTTCACTACTGCAAAATTATTTGACAACAATGTATCATTTATTCTTCGAAGAGCAGTTTGACCAGAGTCTGTGTTTCCAGTTACAAAACTAAACCGCAACCAAGGAAATATTGCACTCCCGAGCCATGTTCTCGTTCTCTTTCTTTCTCTTTTATTTTTAATACATATATATATATATATTTATTTGCTTCAGCTAACATCATGAAAGGAAAACGTTCTTATTCTTCCCTATTCCATAAGAAAAGATGGAATTGGCAGCTTGGAATAGAGATGAACAGAAGTTTCCTTTGAGTTTCTTAGGTTTCTATTAGAAGGAATGTTCTCTAACCAGTAAAAATAATCCTAAGATTTATAACTTCAAGAAAAATACACATACGTGCTCTGGTTACATTTTATGTGAAGTGTTATATCATTCTCGGCACACATGGGAGGTAGTAGGTTCCCCAGTAAATGGACGCAATGCCTAAATTCTCATTGTAATGGACCTTACGATGATGACTTACAGGAAAAAAGTTGTTCTCCTAATAAAGCTTAGCCCGGAATGCTTTGAACTCATGCAGTTGTTGGTGCCATTGTACACCCTCTGAATGTTGGCAGATGTGTCTACTGGAGACCATTTTTTTTTCACTTTTAAAATAATGCCTTTTCGTTTTAAACATTTACAATATCATTATTTTCTCCTAAGATTTAGGTCATGATAATGCACAAAGCCACGTGTAATTCAGACTAGTTAAAATATCCAAATTAGAAGAATTTATACATCTATCATATATGCATGCATGTTGTATGAAAGAATCCGGTACTTCTTTGTTGAGTTAATCAAGGGTTTTCTATAAAATGTGGCATGTTGGGAATTCAAAGTGAATCTTAACTTTTAGATCAAAATGTCTGAATTCAAGACATAACTGATTTGTATATTTTTTTGTCCCAGTTTGGCTATTGTCATCTAAAAATTAAAATTCACTTTGAATTACCGAAAACTCACACTTTAGTGAAAAACCTTGACCAAATAGATAATTATCCTACGGTCATTTCAATATGTTCTTTAGTGGTAAATTTTCAGTCCAAGATAGGTATGTATAAAATAAGAAAAAAAAGGCCTGAGAAATTGAAGAAAAAAATACATTGTGACTTTCAATAAAAACAGGTTGACACATATATGGAGGGCTGTATAAAATCTTTTTTTTGTGTTAGTGCATATTGCATATTTGTGAAAATTAAACCAGATTAATTTTTAAGAAAACAGCCCTCTAATTTAAGACTTTGTCCTCTTGTTGTGGTAGTTTTTCTTCTTTTAAATATAGTCTCCTCCTTTACCGTGTTGATTCCCTTTTTGTATTTAACGGTTTCTATCATATCCCCCCTGTCTCGTCTTTCCTCCAAGCTATACATGTTAAAATCCTTTAACCTT